CTATGACTTTTTCAATACAGAGATTGATGCAACCCCTACTATGCCATTTTTTGTCTATTCTGTTAATATCAGATGGGCTTTCTCCTTTCCACCAGGTTGCTATTTAAATCTAAGCACTCCAGCTTTCCTTTTGACTTCAGTTCCCAGCAACACTGGTGCCAATATGTATCACAAAGGTTGATTTCCTCACTACCACTATCTATGCAAAGTATATCTGCTGTCATCATATCAGACAGGCAAATGTGCCTGTGGTCTGCACCTGACAAATCAATTTCTGGGATCCAAGTCCAAGTGCCACTACTATGAAACTCCTACAGACATGTCTTCATGGGTACTACCTGTTCTATAATAATAATAATAATAATAATAATAATAATAATAATAATAATAATAATAATAATAATAATTTTTATTTATATTTCCTGCCTCTCCCTACGGATCGAGGCGGGATTACACAAGTATGTACAAGATAAATGTAATGATCGGTAACTCACTACTTTTTAATGCCCATGTGTTGTTGTTTTTAAATTCGATTCACCTGAACCCATGTCAAGTATTAGACTTTCAGCAAAAATCATGATCCATTGGGATAGTTCCATATCCAAAAATCTGATGCCAACAATCTGCTCCAAAGGGTTTACCATCCCAATTTTTAGGGTGCATGAGAGAATGCCAATTCTGGTAGAAGCTGCAGGATCCTGTGGAAGTCCATAATTAGAATCTGGCCAAAACCAAAATAGAAGCTCTTTGTTCCTACAGCCAAACTGCATAATAGCAACCAATCTGCTTTAAATATGTAATTGCATAAAAAGTAGGACCTTTAGGTCTGCTTTAAGTGTTTGGCCCACAAAGGCACTGGACAACTGTAAGGTCCCACTGGTCTTACAACATTCTGTTGCAGAACACCTGTTTGAAAGTAAGCAAGATACCAAACCTGTTCCCTTTGTTTGGAATAATATAAACCACATCTGAATAGATGCATGTTAAATAATCCTGCTGCTTATTTGACTGAAGAGGTATACATAATCTAAGCAAAATACTTTGTGAAAAAATTAAGAACTAAGGGGGCACAAATGGAATATAACTGCAGTACTGTGAAAGAGTATGTATGTACATGTATGTGTGCATGTGCATCTTCAAGTCACCTGTTGATTTATGGTGAGCCCATGAATTTCACAGGTTTTTTTTAAAGGCAAGGAATACTAAGAGGTGATTTTGCCAGTTCCTTACTCTGAAATATAACCTATAGCACCTGATATTCATTGGCAGTCTCCCATTCAAGTACTAAGTCAGGGCTGACACTGCCTCGCTTCCAAGATCAGGCAGATCTGGTACCTTTAGAGTATTCAAACACTGTGAAGGTCTATTTAGCATTTCCCCCAATCAATTCTTCAACTCAAAAAACTGGAAAGACTGGTAGAAAGAAACCAATATGCAAAATGGCCATGTTAAAAACTCTCTTTCTTTAGGAATTTGCTATCCCTGTATAACTAGCAATTGCTTCTTCTTTGCATATAAAAAGAGCCTTAAATATTATTCCAATTTACTGCTAATTTGTTTGAGACTCATGTTGTTGCACTTCTGGAAAAATAGTTCTTCCTTTAGTAAAGAGTTTTTTCCCTCTAGAGAGAACATCCTCTGTAGAAACTCTAATTGGTTCCATATGTAGGCTTCTTCATCTTTCCAGGATCTTATTAACTCTTTCCCCTCTTACTTAAGTTTCTAATGTAGCTACCAGATGCACTTTCAGTTATTTTAATAGTGTTATGGGAAAATCATTGCCCACACAGAAAATGCAGCAAGCTGGATAATTCCACCATCCATATCTTTGCCATAAACCATTTAACTATTTAAGCTAAGATGTTTTCCTTTCTCATAATCCTAGAACCCAAGGCCCTTCATGGAAGATGAATGATGGGAAATTCTGGTCAGATAAAAGGAAGTGTGCCAGTGTAGTGTAAGGGACTAGGACTCTAGGAGACCAAATCACTAAATACTTTTTTATTCCATCCTTTAGTAAAGGTTAAAAACATGTATTTAAACTTTCCATCCCCCACAAAGTATTCTTGCCCAGATGCATCAGTGAAAAAGTTGGGTTTCTAAACCTTTGAATCTTTCAACAATGCTTAGACAGTTGAAGAACAAAGGAGCACAGAACAAGGAGTCAGCAGCAGTAAGGATAATAAATGGTACATGAACTAGAGAGCTTGAGATCCCACCCTTTCACTGTGGATCAGCCTTGTCCAAGGTTTTTTTAATTGTTTTTGTTTGGGAGCTGTCGAGTCTCACTGTGACAGAAAAACAGCATACAAATGAAATAAAAATAAACAAGGAATCTTTTTTTGT